TTTTTCCCTTTCTTTTGAACCCTGCTGAAGGTACAAGCTTTAAAGTAATTTAGAAGATTTAATTATTATTAATTGCAAGTAAAATTAATTATCACGTATAATCTAACATATCAAAATGCTAGTAATAGTTAAGAAAAATTATATAGAGAAGATAATACTTATCACCGGCTATCACGAAATTGATAGCATAATTTATAATTTCTATGATTTAATATTTATATATGTACAATGAGCGATATCTCGCACAATGTACTTTTGTATGGATATAATACATAATACAGTAGTGTATGTATAATATTGTACAGGGATAAACTGGTGGGAGGATATGAGGTCATGAGAAAAAGGCAATAAATGGCATGGATAAAATGGTTGAAATTAACCGTTTCACTTTGACAATAAACAAATAGGTTGGATGATCGCCGTGACGTTTTTGAGCTCTGGTTCCGTAAATATTAGATAAAACATGTAAAGATACGTACCAGGAACCAGGATCTATATACGTGGATGTCTTTAATTTCTTACAATAACAACGAAAAATGCATTTTCATTATACTCTTATTGTAACATAATGTTTCATAAAAATTAAATATTTCTTTCTATAGACGAAGCATGTTTTCACGTGCTAGTTAACGTGCTATTAACAGATCATATTATCATATATGTACTAATTAACAAACTAAAAATCTCATGCTTTTATGCATACAGCTATTTAAAAAACTCAAAATCTTTCTCTATAATTATTATTATAGATTGTCGTTTAATGAACATCTTTTATTCATTATTACAACGATAATTTTATATGCATAAAAATCACAAAAGTTTAGATAAAAGAATTTAATGTTTATACAGCAATAAATCCATATAGTTCTGACAACATTCGAAACAGTTTTGAAAATGCGTAAATGCATAAAAACTACACTATTGAATATTTGCTCTGAGCTTCTACAATCTTTATGTATAGTTGCTTACATTAATGTCCTAAATATTTTGTTGTTACAATTTTCGTAAAACAAAATCGTACAATATTTCGCTAACATTAGGCAAAAACGAATGTAACAATAAAAATGTTACAATTTCTTGAATTTTT